CCCGGGCTGGGGATTCGAACCCGCCACCTTAGGTGTATGTGGCTGGCGCCTTAGCCGCTTGAGCCACAGGCGCCGAGCCAGTAACTCCTTATTTTCAAAGAAGGAAGTAAGCTTAGAAACTCAATGTCTTGCTTAAGGCTGTGAGCAAATGTGAATGGAGTTTGGTTTTTCCCCTCCCCATACCATCTCGGCCTTTATTTTTGGAAGCCATGGCAAAGTGCCAGTGTCATAAAATCCAGGGACTCTTGCCCACCTTCAGTGTTCCTCCCAGGAGGAGAGTCTTGGCCTTTTGTCCAGAAATGCAGTCTGGCTGTGACATTCCCTGTGCCCTCAGGCAGGCAGCTTTCTTACAAAAGCAGATACCTCCCTCCGGAGACCTTCCACTCATTCTTGAAAGATTTATTGCTGCTATGGCTTATTTAAATACAGGAAATTTAATTAGTTTAGGTTAGTGCTGCCTTGTCTTACCCTGAGTAAGTGGAAGACACTAACAGGAGTTTGATCAGTTTGATCTGGCCATATCCAATGATGTTCTTTCCTTCTCTCCTCTCGTTTAAAAGAGGATTGCAAATCATTCTATCAATCCAGGCAGCAGAGCACAGTGCTTTATTGCTATGTGCAATTGTTAGTTAAATGTGATTTTTTTGATGGGGAAATTGGAAAACACACTCATCAAAATAAGAAACCAGATTCTAGGGCCGGGTGTGGTGGCTCACATTTGTAATCCCAGCATTCTGGGAGGCCGAAGTGGGTGGAGTGCCTGAGCTCATGAGTTCAAGACCAGCCTGAGCAAGAGGGAGACCTTTTCTCTAAAAATAGTCGGGTGTTGTGATGGATGCCTGTAGCTCCAGCTACTGGGAGGCTGAGGCAAGAGGATCACTTAAGCCGGAGAGTTTGAGGTTGCTATGAGCTGTAATGCCACAGTACTATACCAAGAGTGACAAAGTGAAACTCTGTCTAAAAAAATCAAAAACAAAAGGCCAGATTCTAGTTTAGGAGGAGGCATATTAAGGATAGGATGTGATTTCAGGGAATCATTGTTTTCCTGAAATAGGCCATCCTCTCTGGTTTTGTTTTGTTGTGAAACTGTCTCTGCATTCGATACTATGTTAGATTAATGTTTTCCTATGGGAGGCTGACCTAGAATCCCCCAAACAAGATGGTACTTGCTATGGAGTAAGCATCAGGGCCAAGACTAGCTGCCAACACCCTTTGACAAGGAATCCTTGAAAACATTGGTATCAGGAAGTCAGCAAACCTAGGAGGATTCTTGTAACTGAAAATATTAGGCTACACACTTAACTCAGGTTGTGGCATAATGCAGGCATCATTTTTTCTGCTAAGGTGGTGGTTTTCTTAGCCCCACAGCAGGGTTTGCTTTGGTGAGGATCTTTGTAGAAGGAACTTCCATTTGTTCTGGCTGAGTTTTGTCCCATCAGCTCTTCATGGTTGTGCCCCGCCTTGAATCAGCATGATGGCAGGATTCCTAAGGGCCAGGAGCGGAGGATGGGCAGGGGGCACCAATGAGGCTGCCCTATGACTCTCTTGTGCTCTCTCCCACCCTTTATGTCGTATATAGAATTAGTGAACTTAGCAAACGTCCTATGTCATGGGCACCTCACGTTTAACTCTTGGAGAGCTTGAAGGCATCTGCTATTTCCATGTCCACTCCCTTATGGTCCAAGTGTGAGCCCCCGGGAGACGGCCAGGACCTTCTGGTTGGCTGTCCTGCTTCCCCTTCCTCCATTCCAGCATCATTTGGACCCATAGTGATCTTTACAAAGTCTTCTCCTCATTGGTTCACTCCCTTGTTTGAAACCTGTCAGAGATGTCATCTGCTCTTGGATGAAGCCTGCAGACCTTGGGTGGCGCATACAGGGGGTTGCAGCATTTGGGCTCTGATCCAGCCGGGGCGCCTGCAGCATTGCTGGTATCACATTGTTATAGGATATGAGACTGCTCCTTCCCTCCTGACTTTCTTGGAAGTTGCAATAACTTTGATTTTCCAAATGCAATAAGATAACTGTCAGGTTCTCAAAGGTATACTTAGAATGAATACTGTATTTGGGGAGGGGGGTAGGTGGGAGTGAAACAGGAAGAGATTATCAACTCCTAGAACACAGAGGTGGATGAACTTTATTAAGGTTCTCGTTTGGAACCTTAATAAGTTAATGGCCAATATGTAATCAAGTAAAATGGCAATACCGCCTGCTACGCTGTCTACCAAATGTTTTGACTTTAAAATGTGCAACAGTATTTTAGCTTAGAAAATCATGAGTGAGACTTGGTTCTTGGCTGGTGTAAGAAAAAGCTGATAATCTACAGGGGAAAAAGAAACAAAGCTGCATATTAGAATAGGACTTTCCTTTTTAAACACATTCTCCTCTGGTGAAGCTTATTTATTTTCTTATCTTAGCCTGAGCTTTATTCTTCTGTGTGTGTGGGTGGCCATGCACACACCTGAATTTCATCTTCATCATACAGGCCACCTTTTCAAGGTAATTAATGGGAGTACTGAAATTCTAGGTGGATTTTTGGTGCAGCCTCAAATTAAGAAAATTTTTCTATGATCTTGAATTTGAAGTATTTTCAGATACCAGTTTGGTGGATCCTCTGATGAATTACAGCAAAGAGTTTCAAGGGAAACCAGACAGGGCCATCTCAATGCATTGTGGTGAGTGTTGTGGGGGAGTTCATCGTCCAGTGTTAGGGAGTATAGAGACAGGCCTCCATTCACCTCAGGGAGTGGAAAATCATGTGGGCCTTGAGGTGGGTCTTAAAAGAGACCCAAGTGGTTGGCATTGGTTTGCCAAGCTGAAGGATGGTTAGGAGAAAAGGAGGCATTTTGGATAACTCACAGGTGAAGGCCTAGAGGTCAACAAGAGTGTGACATGCCTAGGAGGGTCACTGTGGCCCTACAGTTGAAAGGCATGCGGGGTGATGAGGAGGTAATGAGTGCTAAAAAGTGGGCAGGAGCCAGATCATGCAAGCTGTTCTTTGGGTACCATGTCAAGCTAACAGGCTTGGATTTTATTCTAA